TGCAATATCTCATGGGCTTCGGATCCTTTGATCTCAAGATTTTTCAAGGCAGCTTTCAGGCTGAGACCTCCTTCCAGATCCGGTACCCCTCCTTGGGACCTTCCTCTTGTTCTCAACTACCTGACTGATGATCTGTTCGTTCCCTTTGAAAATTTGGATACTATCCTTCTGACTTACAATACTTTGTTTTTGGTGGCTAATATTTCCGCAAGAAGAATTTCGGAGATTAAAGCCTTTTCTACCATGTCTTCCTGCCTACAGATCTATCGGATAGGGTGTGTCTGAGACCAAAACCTGAGTTTCTTCCTAAAGTGGTCTCTCTGTATCATCTCTCTCAAGAAGTGATCCTTCCATCATTCTATCCCAATCCAACTTCTAATAAAGAAGTTAGGTGGCAACGTTTGGATGTTAAAAACTGTCTGTCTCAATACCTTTTTCGTTCTAAGTCATACAGAAAGACTGACCAACTCTTCGTTCTACTTTCAGGAGCTAGGATAGGTGAGGCTTCTTTATCTATGTTAAAACGTTGGATTCCGCTAATAATCAGGAAAGCGTATGTCTCTAAAGGTCAGTCTGCTCCAATAAAGATAAGAACACTGTTAGTTCCTGCTCTGTTCTGCGGAGATTTCTGGCCTTGGCTTCTGGTATCCAGTACTCTTTTTACAATTCTTGTTTAGTTTTTCTTGGTTTTTCTGGTTTTCTATTCCATGTCTGGTTTTCTTTATGCTGGGTTTTCTGGGTTCATTCCTTTATTCCGTTCCTGGAATTCCCAGTCTCCTGGATTCCTTTATATGTTTGTTTTATGTTGCCACACCCTTTCCTTTTCCATTCATCCTTTTGTTTCAGTTGGTTCCTGCAGGCTGTTGTTCCAAGTCCTCTGCCCCTTTCTTGCAGGTAAAAGCTGTGTGTGTTTTGTTGTTTATGTGGTCATGCATGTCTGGGCAGTCTGGGACCCACTGTGGTTGGAGTGCTTTGGCGCGGTGGTGGGCTGCGTGCATCTTGGCCATTTGTGTGTGTCTGGGTCTCCGGTGTTTGTTGAACGTAATGGTGCTTGATATTGTCTCCTCTTGTTTTGCCTTGTATCTCTTGTCTTGTTTTGTCTCGTGTTCCCAGTTCGTGTGCAGTCCTGTCCTGCCCTTTTCTGGTTTTCCTTGTGTCTTGTGTACATGTTCGGCTTTCTGTCCTGCTCCGGTTCTGGGTTCTTCTGGTTTTGTCTTGTTTTCTTGTTTGGTGTCTGTTCTGGTCTTGCCTTGTTTCTGTACTGGATACATGTCTGCTGCAGAGTCTCCCTATTCAGATCGTGGGAGGTCTGCTTATTGTCATCTGGCACCTGGGGTCAGCAGAAGGTGCATCAGGGCCCTGGTGTGTGGCCGCACAGATGCTGGTGCTCGGCCCCGGGGGGTGTGTGGTTGCCCTACACCGGGGCCCTGATGGTCCATTTCCACACAGTGACTCCTAATATCAAGATCAGGCATACTGGGTCCCGGTCACCGGACCGCCACACCTTGACAAATACATTCTACCAAAGCATTGTCGACTTCATGGGCTAATTGGACAGAGATTCCATACGATGATATTTGCAGAGCAGCCACCAGGTCTTCCCTGATGACGTTCATAAAGCACTACAAACTGGACGTGGCCTCTCCTTCCACCTCCTTTGGGAAGAGTGTTCTGTCTACGGTTTCTTTATCCAACTGGTATTACATTTCTTTGCAGCATGAGTGTCTGTACAGTGTCTTTTTCTCGGTTTCTTTATTCCCACCCTATATTTCTGTGAGCTTGGTTATTACCCATAAGTGATGCTGCAATGATTAGCCAGGAATAGAGAAAATTTATGACAAACCGTAATTTTCCTTTCCTCGCTATTTCTCATGGCAGCACAAGGGTTCCCACCCATTCTTTTATTTTTTTCAGCTTTATAATTGGACTGTGGTGTAAGGGGAGGAGGGACTCTTTATACCTATCAGTCTAGTTAATTAATCTAATTAATTCATGTCCTGTGACTGCTAAGGGAGGAGCTACCCATAAGTGATGCTGCCATGAGAAATAGAGAGTCAAAAATGGGTCGCAAGAGAATACTGAGGACGGGCAGCAGCTGAAATAGCCTGCCCCTCGGTCGGTCCCCGCTCAGTTCTCAAGCTGATTTTTGCTCATCTTGTGCCATTAGATAGAGAACATATCTGAAGCATATCAGACTGGTCCCAACCATACGGGCAGTCCAGATCCAAAATGCCAGCAAGTTCTCTCTGCCAGAGAGATACAGCAACCCCAGACGATCGTTTCAGCCTTGTTAGGCATCATCAGTGAGGCATAGCTGATATCTCCCTAGGCACCGTGAGCAAGGGGTCCACGTCTGGATTATCCCTTTAAACTTGTAGAGAGTCAAAAATGGGTCGCAAGAGAATACTGAGGACGGGCAGCAGCTGAAATAGCCTGCCCTTCGGTCGGTCCCCGCTCAGTTCTCAAGCTGATTTTTGCTCATCTTGTGCCATTACAGAGAGAACATATCTGAAGCATATCAGACTGGTCCCACCCATACGGGCAGTCCAGATCCGAAATGCCAGCAAGTTCTCTCTGCACGAGAGATACAGCAACCCCAGACGATCGTTTCAGCCTTGTTAGGCATCATCAGTGAGGCATAGCTGATATCTCCCTAGGCACCGTCAGCAAGGGGTCCACGTCTGGATTATCCCTTTAAACTTGTAGAGAGTCAAAAATGAGAAATAGCCAGGAAAAGAAAATTACGGTAAGTTTTTCA